GTGTTTGCAAGCAAACAAAAAAAAAGTAAAGTTAACTCTACTTTTATTAACTCACAGAAGCTATTAAATAAGATCTTTGCAAATGGCTGAAGACAATAAATATGTCCATGAAAAAATCTTATTATGCTAAACTGGAAAACAAGTGAAGTCTCCTAATGGGTACCAGTGGGGGAGGTGTAGGTTGGCTATTAGGAAAAACTATTTCCCTAGGAGGGTGGGGAAGCGCTGGGATGGGTTCCCTAGGGAGGGGGTGGGATCTCCATCCCTAGAGATTTTTAAGTCTCTGCTTGACAAAGCTCTGGCTGGGATGATTGAGTTGGGTTGGTCCTGCTTTGGGCAGTGGGCTGGACTCGATGACTCCTGAGGTCTCTCCCAGACCTAGGATTCTACGATTCTATTTCTCAGCTAAGGTTCTCTACAGACAGTTACTAAGAGAGACTTTTACAGGATACACTAGCGGACACTTTTAACCACTTTTAACTTCTGGTTGTTAACGTAGGCCCTGACCCTGCAATGTATTGCACCTGGGCAGACGGTGGTTATGTGCATGGAGGCGGACCCTGAATCCTTGGGCAGTAAGCTCTTAGGATTGTATTTTTACTGTGTTTGTACAGGAGCCAACACAATGGGACCACTATTCCACTTCAGGCCTCTACACGCTCCTGTAGACCAACCAGTTAAGTTGTAGTTCTGCAGAAAAGGACCTGGGGGTTACAGTGGATGAGAAGCCGGATATGAGTCAACAGTGTGCCCTTGTAGCCAAGAAGGCTAATGGCATATTAGGCTGCATTAAGAGGAGCATTGCCAGCAGATCCAGAGATGTCATTATTCCCCTTTATTCGGCTTTGGTGAGGCCACATCTGGAGTAGTGTGTCCAGTTCTGGGCCCCCCACTACAAAAAGGATGCGGAAGCATTGGAGAGGGTCCAGCGGAGGACAACCAAAATGATTAGGGGGCTGGAGCATATGACCTACGAGGAGAGGCTGAGGGACTTGGGTTTGTTTAGTCTGCAGAAGCGAAGAGAGAGGGGGGATTTGATAGCAGGCTTCAACTTCCTGAAGGGAGGTTCCAAAGAGGATGGAGAGAGGCTGTTCTCAGTAGTGACAGATGGCAGAACAAGGAGCAATGGTCTCAACTTGTGGTGGGAGAGGGCCTGATTGGATATTAGGAAAAACTATTTTACTAGAAGGGTAGTGAAGCATTGGAATGGGTTACCTAGGGAAGTAGCGGAGTCTCCATCCCTAGAGGTATTTAAGTCTCGGCTTGACAAAGCCCTGGCCGGGTTGATTTAGATGGGATTGGTCCTGCCTAGAGCGAGGGGCTGGACTTGACGACCTTCTGGGGTCTCTTCCAGTTCTATGATTCTATAAGGGGATGGTTGGATGAAATAACATGATCTTGGTAACTAATTGACCATTCATTATCAGTTGGAAATAGGTCAATGGAGGGATGATAGGAGTTGCTATAGGGAACTTTCTGGGTGTCTGGCTGGTGAGTCTCGCCCACATGCTCAGGGTTTAGCTGATCGCCATATTTGGGGTCGGGAAGGAATTTTCCTCCAGGGTAGATTGGCAGAGACCCTGGAGGTTTTTCGCCTTCCTCTGTAGCATTGGGCACAGATCACAGCTGAAGGACTCTCTGCATGTTGGGTCCTTCAAAGTATTTGAATGCTTCAATATCTTTGATATAGGTGAGAGGATTATTCTAAGAGGGGTGGTTGAGATTCTGTGGCCTGCACTGTGCAGGGGGTCAGACTAGATGATCATAATGGTCCCTTCTGACCTTAAAGTCTATGAATCTATGAATCTGTGATATCAATATAAATACAATCCTAAATTTCAGGTCTCATCCTGCAGCCACTGCACAAAGAAGGTGGGTCAATGGGAGTTGCCCTGCAGAGTCTGAAGGGTCACATTCCAGAACCATGCTTGCAGGTCAGAAAATTAAGATGCAAAATTTTTAAAATGTTTGTTTGCCTGCTGATTCACCAAGGGCCTGATTCAACAAAGCACTCATAAGAACAGCCAGACTGAGTTAGACCAATGGTCCACCTAGCCCAATGTCCTGTCTGCCCACAGTGGCCAACACCAGGTGCCCCAGTGGGAAGGAACAGACCATGGAGTCATCAAGTGATCCCTCCCCTGTCGCCCATTCCCAGGGTCTGACAAATAGAGGCTAGAGACACCATTCCTGCCCAGCCTGGCTAATAGCTATTAATGGACCTAACCTCTATGAATTTATCTAGTTCTTTTTTGAAACTTGTTATTCTTGGCTTCTAAACATCCCCTAGCAAAGAGTACCAGGGGTTGACTGTGCAATGTGTGAATACTTCCTTTTGTTGCTTTTAAATAAATGTTATGCACATTCTTAAGTATTTTCCTGAATCAGGCCCGAGAGTTCTTAATACACAATGGGTGTGAATTTTTTCTGGGATAATTTTATTAGGAACATTCTTCAAGAGAAATTAATTTATTTTTCCTCACTTGTGTGATTGAATCAACACACTGAGTATGAAACATCAGTTAAACACACATCTCTTCATTAGCTGTGTTTACCTGAGATGGGGTAGGTGAGGGATTGTTAATGTCACTTTACATTTTAACAATCACCAATGAGTATCAACAACAGATTGTGTGAAACAGTTAAAAGCTTAGATTAAAAGATATGGACTCAATCTGTGACTGAACCACTTTAGCAGGGTTTTTGTCTGAATATGTGCATGAACACAAATATCATGGGCACAGTCACCTTGAAATCTAGCTGTCAAAGAATGCATTTATGTCCATTTCAGTTGCTGCATCACCCCGCTGCCAATAGTTATGGTTTTACAAACACTTTAAAAAGAGCTGGGGGTGTCTTTCCCCTTGCTCTGAGAAAGATTCATACCACACTGAAACTGACAGCATAGTCACACTAAAAGAAAACTAAGCTTTGTTTTTCAGATATTTCAGGATGGGTTTTATCCTTAAAAGCTCACGATATAAAGTATGTGTTAGTCTGTAAAGTGCCACAGGACTGCTCGTCATTTTTATAGCAATCTTCAGTTATATATAAAGGTACAAAATTTTGAGACGTATCATTTTCAAGTTGGTCATCCTTAAGAAAATGAAGAGAAAAATAAATTCCCAAGGGGAGCATCTCATATTTCAGACCCAAATTTATTTCTATCCCACATATAGTTAACAGAGCTCTTTTATAACAAGTTATTTAACAGCAGAAATAATAAATCATAAAGCTAAAGCAAATGGGACTTCTATACCATGAAAAGAAAAAATAGCGCAGAATTGTACACGTCCCCACACTAGTATTTTTCTTGTGCTAATCTTTCAGGGACCAATCATTGGAGATCTCTCATATTTACTGGGAAGTTTTTGTGCAAACTCCCTCAGAACAGAATCCTTACTTTTAGGCAACGTTTCCATTGCTTCTCTAAAGAAAGTGATGGAAGCTCCGTTACTTATGTAATTTAAAAATGAACTGGCAGATCTCCAGAGAACAATCTTACATTAACCGGAGTGGGATGGGTAGACAAGACAGCTCAGCTATCTTTAAAAGTCTCAGCGGGATAACTTTAAACACAATGGCATAGTCTTCGGCACCTTATAGACTGACAAAAATACATGTATAGTGTCTTTGGTCTTTGTCACTGCTCCATTCAACTCATAAATAATGGTTTAGTTTAAACGCCTACTCTAATAGTTAAAATCACGACCAGCGAACCACTTACCAGGTTTCTTGCTAGAACTACCGAACTGCCATCAATCCTTATTTATACTCACTTGTTCCTATATCCCAAGTCTCAGGCTTCAAACCACACACAAAAAGACCAGGGGACAGACAGAGTACAAGTTTGACAACTGTGTAGCCCTGCTATGTGGAACATTTATGTCACCCTTTTGCTCCACAGTTCTTTACAGGATCGCTCTACACAGACACACCACCACTGAGGTGAAGGGAGGCAACTGGCTGGTGTACTGAGGTGTGGAGCAAAAGGGGTGACAAAAGCAACAGATGATGCTTTCTGGTTACAGTTAGCCAGCAGGGGCTGGAGCAGCCTGCTTGCTACCACATGCGGGGGAACCCTCCGGCCTGGCCAGAGCAGCCCCAGTCCGCAACAGATCCAGGCTGGGCACAGCCCGACACCATCCATGGCACAGCCAAGCCCACCGAACACAAGGGCTACTCTGCCCAGGCTGGAGCAGCTCCTGCATGGAGCAGGAGCGGGCCACTCCAGCCCAGCCACCACCACCCTGGCCACCACCACCCCATTTAATTGGTTAACCGGTTAAACAATGTTTAACCAGTTACCTAATTAAATGGGATTTTACATCCCTAGCGTGGCGATTCTGGCAAAGAATGCTGATTCATTCTCACCCAAGAAGTGCTAGGAGGTCTTTAATCTCCACACAGAGCCAGCAGGATCCTGGCTTTTAGCTCCCATCCAGGAGATCTGCACATACCAGAAGCCAGAACACTCAGTTTATCTACCTGAAAATAGAGTAAAAGTGTAAACCTGCCCTTCCAGGTTTTTCAAGCCTGCTGTTTAGTCCACCTGATATTCCTTAAGGGTGCTGTATAAGCAGCTTGTAACGTCATCTGGTGCAGTGGTTTTAATCTTTTTTCATTTGTGAGCCCTAAAAAAATTCAAATGGAGGGGCAGCTACCTTTGGAAATCTTAGACAGTCTGTGGCTCCCCAATGGCTTCCATAAATTGAAAACCAGTGATCTGGTGTATTGTTCGTGACTGATTGTAAGTTCCCAAGGACGCCCTGTGACTCCATTTGTACAGCACTGATCACACTGTCAGCATCCAAACTGTACTTATAATGCAGAGGTATTTAAAGAGAGGTTTGAAAAGGATGCCCCAGAATTATCAAAGAAATTGTCCAACCTCCATCTAAGAGATCACCAAAAGCCCTGGAAGTTTATAAAGGTTCAAGCGCCCTTGCCCTCACTTGCAAACATCCTTCACTCATATCCTCCCCAGTCCCCAAACTTACTGAAGCTTTTTGTAGCTGTTTATTGGCCTGCATTCCACTGTGTTGCACCTGCTCTGCTGTATACCTGATCCCTCCTGCAGCCGAAGCAGCACTGCACCACCTTATTCTTAATGAAAAAATACAGAACTTCATTTCCTCAGAAGATAAAATAATATATCAGAGCAGACACACAGCTGCCCCACGGCCCTTACTCCTGCAGACTTCAAAGGGAACATTGCCTAAGCAAAGAGCGTGGTCCTGGCCTGTGATGGCTGAGTGGTTAAGGTGTTAAACATGAAAACCAACTGGGTTTCCCACACAGGTTTGTAACCCGCTCACAATGGCTGAGACTTTAATTCTATGGCATGCATTATACAAGAGGTCGGACTAGATGACCTAACAGTACCTTCTGATCTTAAAATCTATATGTGGGAACGTCCCACATGTCCAATGAGTCCCGCCCAGAGTCTAAGCTCGTTTGAGCCACTGGTGCTTGGATGTATTTTTGTTCAGGAAGGTTTTTATATAGATCAGTAGGAAAAGTTTTGTAAAGAAGTATGCTAATTTTTAAAGAAGTGTATTATATATCTGTGGGAGTCCAAAAAGTAATGAGGGAAGTAAATTAGAGGGGCAAGATGGGTGAAGTAATAACTTCTATAGGATCAACTTGTGCTGGTAAGAGACACAAGCTTTCAAGTGGACACAGATCTGAAGAAGAGGACTGCATGAGCACAAAAGCTTCTCTCTCTCTCTCTCTCCCCCTTCCCACAAAAGAAGTTGGTCCAATAAAAAATATTGCCCTATCCACCTTGTTTCTCTAATATCCTAGGACCAACATGGCTACAGCAACAATGCATACAAGACAAGTAAATGTCACATGCTTAAGACAGTGTTCCACACATTGTATAAGGAGCTTGATAGATTTTAAAGAGAAGCAGTAAACACTGTTTGGGCCCTCAGCAACCTAAGCCTGGATCCGGCAGGCTGTTTCATGTAAACAGACACCTGCACCCATGCAAAATGATACTAAAGATGGCTCTGCACAAAAAAGTTTGACAAATCCTAAAATGTGCTACAAACAAGAAAGAAAATAAAGTTCCTGCCCTGAAAAGTTTATAACTCATAAAACCCAATGGATCCCAGTGTAAAAGTCCTGAAGAGTCACTTCTTCTGTGATGGCCACAAATGGCAAGGTAATAATAAAATAAAAACTCAGATCTCTCTTGTGGGTTTCTCCAGGGCTGGCCCACAACATTTTGGCACCTGAGGCAGGGAGCTCAAATGACAATCCCATGCCCCCTTTTCTCCTCCCTGCCTCTTGTGCCCTCCTTCCTCCAGCACAGCACTCCACCACCTCTGTGCATCTAGAGCAGAGAGAATACATATGCACCAGCAGCAGACACAATTTTCTACACTCTGGGTCCTAGTGGGGCCTCCCTACAGTCTGGCACCTGAGGCGATGGCCTCAGTTCACCTCATGGTAAGGTCAGCCCTGGGTTTCTCAGTAGATACCGTCTTCCCTGTCCTTATGGGCCTGATCCAGCAAAACTACATGTGAGTAATTTCATGTGTACAAGTAATCCCATTTTTGACAAAGGAATATTTGCACAAGTAAAAGGTTACACAGAGTAAGCCCTTAAGGACAATTTGCAGGCAGAAGATAGGCAAGGAAATGAAATGAGCAGCATGTGAGACATGAAGATTTGTATGTAAACAAACAAGTGCCTTTACTGATCAAAATTACACTCGGGTTACTAAAAGCAAGAGAAGTCAAAAAAGACCCGTTTCCTATTACTGCACTTTGGTTTCTTTTTGCTTTTCTTTCAGTTTGGACAAAAATTAGTGTCGGCTTTGTATGCAGTCAGATTAATTTTTGCTCACATGTAGTTTTTAGTGCTGCAATGTTGGAGTTTCAAATACTTCTGTGGAATAGTTGTTTTTATTGTTATCTATTTGTATTACAGTAGCGCAATATAGGCCCCAACCAAGACACGAACCCCACAATGCAAAGGCCGTACCTAAAAGACCTTACCACCGACTCTCTAGAAGGGCTACCTGCATTCTAGTTTTCCCGCGTATCTTGGGTGTGGACACAGCTAGTTTTCACACCCCTTTGGAGCAAGTTTGCCTTGACAGCCTTCTGTGCGGTCGATTTCATGGCTGAATGACCCTTTCCCCAAGCACCAAGGAAGAGAGCGCGGGTTGTGTTGTGTTTGGAGGTAAGCGGGACTGTAAAACGCCGGCGGCATGGGCCGTCGCCAGGCGGGGAGCGCGTGTGGCCCGTCACGGCGGGACTATGGCGCATGCCGGCGCAGGTCCTGCCCACGACTGGGTCGGCCGTGCGGTCACCGACTTACCTGGGCGGGGGAGGGGGGACCGTGGGCGGTGCACTGTGCGGGGGGCAGGACGCGCACCGGACCCTGAGGCGGGTCAGGGCAGGGAGGGGCGTTATGCTGGGCTGTACAGCGCCGAGCACGGGGCGGGGCCTCATGCACCCTCCCCCCATAGCGCTCAGCCCCCCCTTAGCCATGGGGGGGCAGCTTGGCCAGGGGGCCAGTCACCCACAGGGCACCCCGC